AAAAATTTGAAAAGGGGGCTATGGAGTCGATAGGCGTATGTTCTAAGTGTGTCGAGGACTCCAGGGTGTCATTATCTGCAAAATGTAAACTCTAAATCTTTACGAGGAGATTTTCAAAAACCCCATTACTCCGTTTTCTTTCAATTTTCACATCCTCAATTATTTTTTGGCAAAAATGTATCGGAATAATATGCCCATGTATTAGTGTTTTACATGTGTATAATGTTCAAGAAAAATTGGTTTCTTAATAGAAAATCCTTTTTTTAGCGAGACCCGCCGTCTTAGAAAAAGTTTGTGTCGAAAAATTAGGCTATTTTCGTTTTTTGAGCTGATTTTGTAGCTGTGGAGAATGCGCTTTTAACGCAGCAAACCGCGTATGACATATGCGTGCTTTAGTTTTCGCGTGAGACAATTTCAAATCTATATAAAATGAACGTTTCTACAATTTTTTGCATAGTTGAAAAATTCGTATTTATATGATATTATTTGCGTTAAACTGGATAACAATGAGTGAAGCGGCTCACGATGGTACCTTCAATAAGAGAAATAGGCGAAAGGAAAGCTGGGGATACATTTCCAAGCAAATTTTTTAGCGTTAACATTGATTTTTTTATGCATTTCATTTTTTTGGCTCTCCTCAACTATTAAAGCTGTAAATTTTCGGCTCATTTAAAATCTGTCTTCTCCTTTAATTTCTAAGTTACAACATTTAGAGACACATCTTTCGATTCGTAAAATCAATTTCTAGTGATTATATCTGCCCTCTATTGCAGGATTTGAAAAATTGGAAAAATCCTCTGAAAAAAAGTTAGGAAAATGCCTCCGGAGTCGTTGTATATTTGCATTGCGAATCGAATGATATGTCTCTCGATGTTGTAGCTTATAAATTAAGAAAGAGTTAGATATATACAAGTCAATTTTTTTTCGTTTTCAATGCATATAACGCTATCGTTCATTTTCTCGAATAAATCATACGAACATAATATTCTTGTATTAGTGTTGTAGATATGTCTACGAAGATTCAGAAAAATAGGTCAGTTAATTTAAATTTTTTTGAAAGAAATAAGTCCCTTCCTCTTGAAAGCCAACGAAATTAATATGCATACAAGAAAATGGTTATTTGTTTCAATAGTTGATTTCAATATTTTTAAAAGGAAGTTGAACGAAAACAAAGCTTAATGGTGTTTAAAATCCAACAGAAAGAATATGCACGATAAGTAAAATTACTATGTATTTTATTATTGATTCTAATATATTTACAGCGTATAGTAATGCTCACAGATAACAATTGCTATTGCTTCGTCATCGATATCAGCAAAAGCTAACCTATACATGTATACCCTGTAAGTTTTTTTTCGTGAACGAGCCTTGAAATAATAAATTTAGGCGATTCGAAAGTAAATTACGGCAACTTTGTTTTTAATTTGCATTGATAAATTAGAATGTCTTCTGCAATATAAAAGTTTAGAGATTTAGTTATCAAGATAGTAGTATATTTTCATGTCATTTCATGAAAGGCGTGTCATTTTGCAAAAAAATATGGCCTATGAAGTTTTTCGTTTCACTATACTTCTATAGGTACTTGAATAAAGAAAGAAAATACCACAATAAATTGTTCACAATTCTTTGCTTTCTAATATATTTGAACCCAAATTAGGTTTTGAACAAATAATAGAAAGATTCAACCATTTGCCGTAACAAAATGAGCCTGTTCGTAGGCCTGCACGTAACAGTGCGCATTGGTGAAACGCCGATTATTATATGAGTATAGATACGATAATTTAGAAGCTTAAAGAGCGCTAACTAATAACACGCAAGGAACTTCAGGTTAAACGAAACTTACAATAGATTTCTCAGATTACGCAATACTGTCGCTAACTCATCGATTTAGATCTTCAGGCTCCAGAAGATGATTATTGGAAGGTCAATAGCTCAGCGATGCGCATTCAGCAAGCGCAACTGTTGAATAGAATAGAAGTGTCGGCACTGAAGAAATAGGCCCATGGCCTGTTGCCGATTCTTGTACTTTTCGTGACTTGATTCACAAGGGATATGGCCTTTGGAACCCGATCTTTCCATAGCTGACGATTGATTGAGATAGCTGCTGGACTTATTGCCTGGTCCGTAATTTGCTAGGCATTTTAAGACTGAAGAGCAAGCCGTGAGTGAACAAGGAACTTGCCTGTCCCTACATTCGCTCCAGAGCTGCCGTAAGGCAATTAACAGGCAGGCATGTCCAATCAATGAAATATTCCTGCATAATTATTTTGCTAAGTGTAATAGTTCAACAAAATTTCGCAGTAGTATAATGAAGTTTGAAGCGGATACCCCAAGTGACTCCAAATTTTATTTTAATAGTAACACCTTCAGTTCATCCGTTAAAAGTTTTTCAGGGTAACCGTGAATTCCAAACAAATGCTTTCGTTTTATTGCCAAGGAACTATAGGCTTTCAAATATTGAACATACATATTTTATTTAACTCAACGTTTTGTTTATACCTTTTATTCCAGCCAATTATCAAGCTCTGACTATGGGGTAATTTATTCACTTAATTTGAATAGCGTGAGTTCTAACAGTAACTCATATGCGAGAAGACTTTCGTAATAAGGGCGGCCATTGAATGTTCGATGGACGGCCGCTTGTGATGTACAAATGCTAGTCTACAGTTCCATGCTGATCAGGGTGTTATTAAGAATAAGCCTATAGCTTCTAATGGACTAATGGGTCGCGTGTAGATTGGACAGCTCGCTTCATTATTCACCTGTCAGGAGCGTTTCCAAACGTCGAAATCCTGTGGATCAATTTTGAATGGTTGTGTAATATGAGCTAAAATGACATACAGGGTCAGCGACTGTTGAATTCCTTCTCAAATACACATTTAAATGTCCTATTACTTATATATCAGTCTGCTTATATCGCAAGTTCACAAGGAATTTGAAAGCAAAGAAAACGCCAAACAAATTCACCGTATCAATACTGAAAACGTTTAAGAGTCCAGCTCTATCATCAGTTCGACAATCTAAAAATTAATACAATCATTGTATTGATTGTATTCATTTTTAGATTGTCGAAATGTGCTGTTCTAGGGCACACACGTCATGTACAAGGCACCTGATGCAGGTTTTACTAGTATATTTAGGTTTAGTTGAGTGCTGGCTCGAGCGCTAGAAGTATTTGGTACGTGTCTTTTAATTATGAAGATTTGTTTTACTATGTATTATGATTTTATTTGTCAGGCATACGGTAAATGCAATAATACTTATTTTATGTAACCATTTTCACCATTGTATATTGTTTGTTATTACGAGATACGATTTAATAATGATTAGCAACTCAAAATCGTGTATTCAAATTCTTTGCAAGAGCATTTATGTAACAGTTGTCTTACTACAAATCATGCGTAGAAAGAATAGTGAAATTTGAAGAAAACCGGTAAAGTTTTCTCAACATTTCTTGAGTAGATTTATTGGGAAGGTTTAGAGTATATGTATACCAGTGGAGTCGTCAGTTTAGCCACAATTGTGTAGAAGAAATAAATTTTTAAATTATGGTATCCCTCATTAATTGATGTTAAAGAATGTCCGTTTGACTTGTGAATAACACCCGGGTTCGACAGACTGCCGATAAAAAGCTTATAAGTTAAGTGAAATAATATTTTATATTCTCAGAATTGACGAGCTGTGAGATAACTACATTACCGGCCCATTACCGACAACTGTATACAGGGTTCCAGATGATAATTGAACAATTTATTTAATAAACTCTTGTCTGAGAGTTGAAAACAAATAGCTTATTTGCTGAACCTTGTACAAAAATGTGTGCGGTCAAAATTTTAGGAATGAAGTAGTGATAATTTTCTGCAATAGAAATCACTCACATATTGAACTTTCATTATCGGTGTAGTTAATTAAAAGAGGTGCTCTGACATTACGGAGTTCACCAAGGGACCAGTGTATCGGTTTCACCATTTTATCTCAAAATTTGGAACCGTGTTACCCTTATAGCAGAAATTTAAAATATTCTAAAGTTGATTAAACGCTAGCTCACAATTAATTCCTTGCTAATCAACTTGAATACCAGTTTTTCTGTAAGAATGCCGATGCTAAAAAGAGAAGAATTTTGTCCGGCATTAGAAGCTGCCTAAAGTAATAAATAATATACGACTATATGCCCGAGCTTCGTATGACTTGAAAGTTACGCAGAAAGAAAAGCTCTTCTCGTAAGCCTTTCAATGCTAATACCTGGAACGGCCTGGAGCTCACGGCCTCCTTTACGGGCCTCGAGCGTGAGACTCGCAAACCCTTCAGGGCTAAAGATCATAATTCGTTCGATCTAAAACGATAGAGGAATGGAAGAGAGCTAAGAAACGTCTGCCGCCAGCGGTTGGGAAACTTTGTATTAAACACGCATGACAATTCAAACTTACGGCAAGCTTGCCGTCAGATGGCGAGAGCTGGCCGACAGAGGGCGCTAGTATTGCCATTGACGGAACGTTCAACTTGAGGTTTTAATGTCGAAACATATTAAATCTTCGACCGCACACAATATTTAGAAGAATATTCAAATTACAGATGAGTGATACAATTGGATACGAATTATTTTTGTAAAGCGTAACTTCAAACTGGAAAATTCTTCATATTACGCACCACTGGCGGGAGAAGTTGGATCGTCACAAGGTACGCCGCAGATGCCTGGACTACACAGCAGGTCGTCGTGCACCTGACACTGACAGCAGTTCAGTTAGCGCGAAGCAATCAAACAGTGAGGAGTGCGTCGCCTTAGCTCCTGTGAACCACGTTAATGGACATTTCCATACAAGTGCTCCTTATGACGAATGAAGTTAGCGTTGATAACGTGTAGTGTAAAATACAATTATTGAGATTTGGAGGACAATACCAGGGCTTGTGGTTGCGTTTATTAAGGCTTTCTGTACATTTTCTTTGGTGTAAAATTAAACGTTTCCGCTGATTTTAATTTAGGTACCTACATTGGGTAAGCTAAATTATTTGCGGGTGTAGGTTTATTTGGTACTGCTTGACAATCATATGAACAAATCTGGTAATCTGAAACTTATTTTCTGTATTTAAACTTGAATGTTTCACTGAAGACACAGACAACACTGAAGGTTGAAGGCGACCACTTCTATTTACTCGATAGAGGAAATTTTCATCAAGCTTTGATTCGATTTTACAGCTCCAAACCTCATTATTGAAAAGCCACTGAATTTTTCATACGGAGGATATTTACTGAGGATAATTCGCACACAGAGGCTAACCTTTCAATGGCTATTTGGGGATCTGTTTCATTTCAAGCTCAGTTCAGCCACGAATTAATTCATTAGATATTGTATGATCCATAGAACAGTGAGACCCGAGTCATTGAAGGTGATCTTTATTCTTATATAATTGTTGGACTGTTCTTATTGCGAGTTATTACTCGGCTGCATGCATGTGCTCGTTCAAACTGGAAGGAATCGAATGTGAAAAAAACGGAAATACTGAAAATTGTGACGTGCAGGAATGTAGAATCGGATTGATAGTTTAGTTGCGGCAGAGTTTGACAAGCAATTAGGAATGGATACATAATTAATCAAAACAAAGTGTCAATTTAAATCCAAGAGAGTTTTAAAAATTAATGATACAAAGGTGTTATTTGAAATCCAGGAGAGTTTAATTAATTAGTTACGGCTAAAAGTGATTTGAAATCCCGGAGAAGATTACAGAAAATCTCAAGGCCATATCGCCGTTATGCTGGACGGTGAGTAACGACAATTATTGCTTGCTAATGTTTTAATTGTCAAGAAAATCGACTCAGGTTTACCGCAATTTTTAATTTTGCTGGTTTTTATGTTCAATTGGAAGGGATTTCGCTTTTTTTATAATGATTAAACAAAAAATTTAAACTTCTACCATATATCTATAATTATTTTTTTCATTACGTCTAGTTTAATGACTTCTAGTTCAACTCGAATTAGCGTTTACGTACAGATTAAATAATCTATAACATAAGCTGAAGTGAGGCTGCATGGAGTTCGTAAAATTTTAGCGTTGTTACTTGTCAAGCACAATTGTTTTTTTTCCTGCTATTTTACTAAAAATATATACGCCAATAGTGAATTCCAGGATTGGAATACGTAACAAACATACAGCAATATAATTTTCTTATCTGAATTTACAGAGTTATCTGACTCTGAGCATCGCTTGTGTAGGTTCAGGTTTCATGTCCTGCAGACGCGCGCACGAATCATGAATTTGATGCGCTATAGGTTCCGGCAAATTCCTGTGATGAGGAAGATGATGGGGTGAATGGGGTGATTGGTGGTGAAGCTGATGGGATGATTGGTGGTGAAGCTGATGGGGTGATTGGTGGTGAATCTGATGGGGTGATTGGTGGTGAAGCTGATGGGGTGATTGGTGGTGAAGCTGGTGAGGTGATTGGTGGTGAAGCTGATGGGGTGATTGGTGGTGAAGCTGATGAGGTGATTGGTGGTGAAGCTGATGAGGTGATTGGTGGTGAAGCTGATGGAGTGAATGGTGGTGAAGCTGATGAGGTGGATGAGCTGATGAGGTGGATGGGGTGAATTATTTAGGTGCCGGACGTCTTAAGATTCCATAAATAGTGGAACTGTATGTCTTAAATACCTACATATACAACTAAATGGAAACTAGTTTCCTGCAAACGCGCGCGATGATTTCAATCAATAATTTAATAAGAGTAAAAAATTAAATAAATCACTTTAATAGAGTTTTTTCTGTGATTCATAGGCAACATTCATTGAAAGAGGAAAATTTATTTTTGCTACTGAATTTTCAGATAAGAAAAGACGTGTGAGTTTTTGGCAGCTGTTATCTGAGCGAATCCATTGTGTAGGGAAGCGAAGGAAGTAGAAGGAAGTAATCCGATGCGTGAAGAGGTCAGCTACATCACAGGATTCTTATTTCTTATTTATTCTTATTTTCTACTGACGCACCGACTGATAGAAGGCCAAAGCGAAGCGCACAGATATCAAATGTGATATTTTATCTATTTTCTAGGACTTGTGAAGCAATCGAAGTATTGATGGGAGGAGGTAATGTATATGCAGTTAATTTAGCCGCATTCTTATTATGGAGTTTTGAAAATCTCTCGAGCTATTTAATTATTAAATAACAAGACAAATTTATACTTCCAAGCAAATATTTTGGTAAGATGAGTCAGGCCGAAATTAAACAGTTAGCCTGATATGAGACAAAGTGCTTCAGATATATCCTAGAAACATAGAGCCTGAGTTTCAAGCTCCACTGGACCGGGTTCCTTATAGGTATTAATTTTTCAGTGCACTCACTTTAAATAACCGAAGTCACAGCACACTCGTATATACCCGCTTTGACGTGTATTTAGATCTAACCGCCTAATTTGGTTTGAGATAACTATATAGTAACTAGTATACCGCATAAGAAATATATTTTATGTACAATAATAGTTTGTGTAATAAATCGTATCACACTAGATCCTCGGGTTAGCTCCAACTGCCGTAAGAGATTGTAGGTAGTCAGCCTCACATCTAGTTATTCTTATAAGTTCCATGTTTAGGCCAAAAGATAGTAGGTAGTCAGCCTCACATCTAGTTATTCCTATAAGTTCCATGTTTAGGCCAAACAACAGTAACAATGTTGAGGTGGCGTCCAGTCTAACCTCCGATCTCTGAGGTCACTTCAGGCGTAGCTCCACGCTACCCACGCAACCTGACACCAAATTTCCTGTGGCATATAAGCCAGCTATTCGATGTCTTCCAGTGGTCTGCTTCTGCCGTCTAGTTAGGTAGGCGTTATAGTTAAGTAAGATGATGAACTTGATTGGACACCCTGCTCAATTTCTTGGTGAATTTTTTGTCACGATCCTGTCAAGCCAACGTGTGTTTTGTTTCAAGTAAACATTTCAAAATGGCAAGTCTCTTGTGCTCTGAATTGAGATACCTGTACGCTCACATTACTTACAATTCTATGTTTCTCTAAAATTATCACCTAAGGGAATGGTGTATTAGTTAATTTTCGTGGTATTATCTATAGCAGAAATATGATCCTGATTAACCCATGAACTTAAAGTCGCCCTCGAGCTCGCTAATTTGACGCGTAACCTGTTATCTCGTGAGATTTGGTTTCTTTATTCCTTATCTTCAGCTTGTGTTCTAGAACGCGCGATGACCTTATCATGAGCCCTTCCTTATCTCATCTTCAAGTCATCTTGTGTTCTGGAACGCGCGGTAATCTTATCATGAGTTCTTCCTTATCTCATCTTCAAGTCATCTTGTGTTCTGCACGGTGACCTTATCATGAGTTCTTCCTTATCTCATCTTCAAGTCATCTTGTGTTCTTGAACGCACGGTGACCTTATCATGAGTCTATCATGAGATAATCTTAACACATCGCTGCTTATATGTATAGATAAAGACGCTCCTTTCGCGAGCAGCACGTCCTAACATGTATGCAGCTCAAGCCATTTAAATAAGATTCCTTGCTATATCTGTTCATACTTTATTGAACGTACCTGATGAAAACGGCTGAAAAATGATGGCTTAAAATAATCATGACTCGGTCAGCTCATTTGAGAGTCTGGCCGAATGGTGATACCATGTCTCTGCCTAAAGAATAATAATAATCGATTTTAGCTATCAGTTTTTCCTGCATTACAGGTTTTGTTGCTTCATTTTTATCACATCACATCCTTCCATGGCATTGCTTGGTATAGTCAAATGAACCGAAACACCTTTCTCATTATTTTCGTTAATTACTATCCAACGTGAAATTAGAGTACCGTACCTTATGCATTTGGTTGACCGTCGGCTATTGGGTGGCCGAATAACAATTAACCGAAGGTCTGGCATCTCGTGTTCTGGCTTATATATCACATGAATCGGAAATATTGCAGGTGGCATTCTGCGCGAAAACTTATTCTAAATATAAGCGCAAAATATCCCATATAATGGTGCGAATTCTTATATGGTAATACGAAATTCCTAATTTTGAAGTAAATGACATGAAAATCAATCGTGCGCAATAAATGCAACCTAGATGCATTCTCATGAATAGGTTTAGATGATTTCAATGCCTGGATATACTGAAGAATAAGTTGTTGGATGAGATTATTGAAAGTGATTGATGGATATGCTAAATAATGAGGATTCATTATATAGTAGCGAGAGGCTAAGGCTACAACCAAATCAAGATAGTTGGCAAACACTGAGCGTCCAATTTTATTTTTTTGCTCACGTAAGCCAACCATTAGATTCAGTGAGGTGTTTCAGAGCAGGATGCATACGGGCTTATTTCTTCACAGTCGTGAGTCGAAGCTTATGCTCCAGCATGTGCAATGTAAATAATGGAAATTAGGGAGAGTGATATTTCAAATTGAGGATGAAAATATTCGAAATTATTGAACATTGATATTGAACAAAAATTTGGACCAGTGTAGTTGAGTCAGTTGCAACTCTTCAAGGAAACGTCTTGGTCATTCACGTCTGTGGGACCATGCTAGTCTTGCAGTACAGAACACCGGACCTCACATTTCTTGCTTATAGCGCTAGAATTTAGTATACAAATTTAAAGCCAGAGGTGAAATTTGCTAGAATTTGAGTTGAACGATGTTTATGAGGATTAGAAATGTGTTGAAGGAAATTCGGAATGAACAATGTAGGTACGGTACTGAGTACTGAAAATAGATGCTCGGAATTTCTTTACACATACGGTAAAGAAAAGAATTTCGATTGGTATGTTGCAGTTCTAAACTTCAATACACAATTTCACGGCACATTAGTTTAATGGAATTGTATCTAAATATCAGCATGTACAAGAAACTTTTGAAAATTTATGTTTTGTGGATAGAAAACAATCAGAGATAGATTCGTGTAATAACATTTTTTATACAATTGAATGACGAATCATTTGGACTTCCTCGATCGTTTCATGTCTACTCGTTTGGTCATCTCGACAACGACAATCAATTTTGAAAAATGACTGAAATCAACCGTGTATTGGTATATGCAATTAATGATCATATCAATAGGAATTTTGAAAATATTATACGTAGATTTTCTCCTTAAAACTCCATTGGGTAAACAGTGACTCAGAACTTTAAGCCTTCGTGCCAAGAGAATGTGTCGTATCAACTATCACGTTATTTTGTAATTTACTCGCTATACGCTATTTAATTAATGGGCGTATGCAGTCAACAAATTTCTCACGAAGTTTGTTTCATTATCACGCAGCTTTCTACCTCATATAATGGCGCGGCGCTCGTGCGCAAGAATGCTGCCTGGTCACTGCATGCATGCGAGGTGAGCGCCGGTCTTTTCACTGTCTACAAAAGAACTTTTTACGAAGCGTTCGCTTATCAACAAAAAAATATTCATGAGGAGTTTCTCCCCTTGAAATTTGTTGCCGAGGAAATTTTGGGTGGTAAATTATTTCGCGTAAGATTAATGACCAATCAATTGTTGATGACCAGATATCGAAACAGGAGTTTTCACAAAGGTCTATTCTTCTCAAAATTCATGCTGACTCACTCTCATTTAAGATACTTTTTCCAACGAAGCGGAATTGATCTTCGAAAGATATTGTTCCTTATAATGTTTGGCCCTTCTGGAACAATACATAAAAACTTCTTGCAACGATCGTCTCGAGTTCTCGAACCTCCCATTTCAGCCAGCCTTCGACCCAAACGAAGGAGCACGAAAGCAAGTTTTTCGGTCAAGATGCCACACCTTAGAATGTTTCTCGGCT